AGGACATTTTAAACAACTATCTGTTTGAATAAACAAAGTAAGCTAGGACACAGGAGAGGAAATTTTAAACAACTATCTGTGTGAATAAACAATTAAACTAGGACACAGGAGAGGACATTTTAAACAACTATCTGTTTGAATAAACAAAGTAAGCTAGGACACAGGAGAGGACATTTTAAACAACTATCTGTGTGAATAAACAATTAAACTAGGACACAGGAGATGACATTTTAAACAATTATCTGTGTGAATAAACAATTAAACTAGGACACAGGAGAGAAGATATTAAACAATTATCTGTGTGAATAAACAAAGTAAGCTAGGCTATTGGAGAGAACATTTTAAACAACTATCTGTGTGAATAAACAATTAAACTAGGACACAGGAGAGAACATCCTAAACAACTATCTGTGTGAAGTTAGCTAGGACACAGGAGAGAACATTTTAAACAGTTACCTGAAGTCGGCGACGCTGTCTGGGGAAAAACTAAAAGAAAGTAGACCCAACACAACTTTATTAGATGAAAAATATAACAATTAAAAAACTAACTATGAAACTAAGACAACTTTAAATAAGATGAAATATGTAAGAATTTGAAAACTAACTATCAATAACTAGCTCAAAGTTATTAGATTAACGATATAAAAAAACGTAAACTACAAAAAAAGAGCACAGTTTTATTAGATTAAATATATAATAAATGAAACAAATCCAACCCAATTCATTGTATTAAAGTTGGTTTCTTTTTAATTTTACGCAAAGCTACACGAGAGCTATCTGCGCTGGCCATTCCTACTTTATCAATTAAAGACTAGAAGGAACGCAGCAATAATCATCACCCACCGTCAGCTCTTGGGCTTCTCTTTTACCAACATCACATTATAGCACCCCCACAGCTGAAAGGGCGAACATGTTTGGTGGAACGGTAAATCGAACCCTTGAGCCACAGAGGGTGAGTCCAGCGCCCTATCTACGTGGCCTTGCCAGACCATTGTAGTAACAATATAATAATGCTTGTAAAATGATATCGTTAAGTTTCACTTTTCTAAGATAGTGTCGTGCACTAGATGGTAAGGTTTCAGTCTTTCTAGAGTTTTCTAAGCTTTTTAAGTAAGAGGTCGAGTTTTTCACTGTTTTACCTTTATCTGGATTGTGACGTCATAGTACAGAATATTCTAGAACAATCATTTGAGCTGTAACAGTACAGAAGATTCTAGAACAATTGGTTACTTACTTGGGCAGGTTCCCGGTCTGAAAGCAATGTTGTCAATAGCGATATCACCGAGGTAGTTTTTACCAACTGTTGCTTCAAATATCAACTGAAAAAAAAAAAAACGAAGTGGGAACTATTTTCGATCATAGCTTTTTTATAATCTGTCATAATTTTACTGATAAATGGTGTTCTGCTTTTCTTTCACAAATACTAGTCCAGTTTTCAGTTCATGATAGTTGTTTATTGAAGGCACTATTATATCCGATGTTTATTTTAAATAAATCATTATACATCTTCAACCATACAACAAAAAATCATCAAATTTAACTAGAACTTATCATCTACGAACGTGTGTGAAAATAACTTTATAAAGTGTAGCTCAACCGATAACATAATATCATTTGTGTAAAACCAACATTTTGTTACGTCTCTGGTCGTTAGTTAAAATGACGTGTTACTAGCGTCACGTGACCCCCGCTGTCGTAACAATTTCATTCTACATAAAAATCTATTTTGAGACCAAGGTACGATGAGATGAGGCAAAGATTGAATTCAGCTCTACTGTTTTAAATAAATGTGTTTGTAAAGGGAATGTCCGATTGATTATGTAAGTTACTCTACTATAGACGTAGCGTAAATCTCCCTGTATATCTGTAGCATCAGTTATCTCCGTTCACAGAGTGAACCAAATGTTTTCAAGGGTAGAGTGTAAGAAAGAGCCAAATGAAACATTCAAAACTAACTAGAATTATTCACTCAAACTGGAAAGCTTTACCTGAAATGGTTTCGGGGAGGAAACCGGAACCCTGGCTTCATACCATCTGTTCCCTGAAGGCCCACTGATCTCCCAGATAGTGCTGATTTCATTAGTCCCTTGACTTCGCTTCAGGATTCTCAATGTTCCGATCCCATTCCCAAACATGTGTGTAGCAAACGTCATACAGATGGGGTTGTTATCGCCTGACAACAGGAGAAGATTAATGAATCAAAGTGAATTTATGAGTATACCTATTGGCGTTTATCAGTGTACACCAGGTTAAAAAGGAAAGTATAAACCTAACACTTGAAGTTTATCAGTGTACACCAGGTTAAAAAGGAAAGTAAAATCTAACACTTGACGTTTATCAGTGTACACCAGGTTAAAAAGGAAAGTATAATCTAACACTTGAAGTTTATCAGTGTACACCAGGTTAAAAAGGAAAGTATAATCTAACACTTGATGTTTATCAGTGTACACC